TCAGAAGCCCCATTAGTCCTGAAAGAAAACACATTGTAAAGCATTGCCCCACCTCTATTCCATGAACAGTGTATGAAGACTCATAAGAAGCCATATTAGCAGAAAATTCAGCGGAACGATGCTTAGCCGATAGAAAGAAAATAACTTGCATTGCGTCTTGGAGGGTGAATATGTGAGAACTTTGGTTCAAAGAAGCGTAATATCGTTGTTTATCATAGAGTGGCATTCGTCACTGCAGTGAAACTGGGAAGGTGTCTGAGTTTGCACGAGTTAAATGCTCAAAATTGACTTTTGATTTCGTTGTTGTTTAGAAACGTAGCCTTAAGTCGTTTTAGAATAAACCAAGCACCCAAGGTTCTTGATGTCTTTAATTTAAGGTTTAAACGCCAGCACACATGTCGCGATGTTTCAGTGCCTCAATCTTTTTTTAGAAAGCCACCACTCTCTCAAAAGCAAAATGAAATTGATTTTGTGCGTGATTGTGACAAAATCTAAGTATATATCCCTTTAGCGACAGACACATGAGTGAGCGTACGTTTCATGAAAATCGTTGCATTGGTGGCCAATGGTACCACGTTTCGACGTGCATTAAGCCAACCGGCACAGAGATAAAATTCGAGCAATGCAGCGAGGCGTGGAAATGCGTGTATTGCACCAAGTTCAGTGAAAACGTATCGCAGCACGAGGGCGTGGTCGTCAAGCAGTTTTTGGTTACTCCTGAAACTGGTGAGCTGCCTGTGCTGACCGATGAGGATTTGGAGGAAATGTTGAAAAATTAATATGGAATGTTGCCGATAATGATTCTGATTTTATGACAACAGCGAATGGGTTATGCGATTTAAGAGGTTAACACTGTTTATTGTAAAAGTAAATTCAATATCGATTTGATTTCATTCGGTAGAGTTATAAGCTTCAGTACAGTTTTAAATTTTCATTCCATTGTCATTTTGTTCGTATCATTTGCTTGTCGTGTAAAGGCCGGTTGCTTGTCAGTTAATAAACGATTTCAGAATACGAAGCTGATAGGTCTTCTGATTCAAGTCATCAGCGATATGGTAACCCCAAGAGCTGTAGAAATAGTTGCGTAATACATTTAGATATGAGGAATGCAAATATTACATAACGTCAATTTTTGCGATTGCAACTTGTAAATCGTTGTATTTGTTATTTTCCGCCATCTGGGCCTAATTTTTGGTTTTTTTTCGTCCCTTTCGCAACAAGTGTCTACCTCCACTCGGTTCTTTTGCTAGTTACGGCTGCATCACCACTGTGCATTTCCACAGGTTGCGGATAATAGAACAGTGGTAAGATATGTGAGGTATATGAGGTATCTACTAGCAGTTCTTTTAATGCGATGGTAGTAGCGAGACTGGCGTGAGTGTCAGACAAAACGAAAACAGCACCGTGAAGTAACAAGCACTCGCCTTCATGGCAGAATAGTTTGTGGCCGTCAGGATGTTGGTCTTCCTTTACAATTTCTTGATTAGACACCATGCGTCGCGTCTTGTTCCTCATGGATCGCATGTCTGTTCTGCGCCATCAGTCTACAGTGCCTTACTTTAAAGTAACGCCTTTCAGGGACAAATTTCAAGCGACCTGGGGTTACTAGGGAAGAAAACACGGAATCATGGCGAAAAGCTTTTGTTAACATGCTTACACACACATCTTACCATGTATCTCTATTTCATTCCGTCATCTTCTACACGCTCTCTTCTTTGCCTTTGTCACAACGCGGATTGATCCTTTCATTCAATCGATAATCCCTTGTTCATCTCGAGAACCAATCTGTGTCGACCACCGAGTTGCACGGCACCTCCACTGCGCGGTGTCGCAGAGAAGAACATTGGACGTTACGCCGCCGGCACCTTCGTCATTCTACTCAAGGAGGGGGGGGGAGAACGGGAGGGACGAGCTGTTCCGTTCGTTGCCTCAGCGCTCTTGGTCTCTCTCCTCTTTGGGCGGATCATGCTTCCGGTCTTTTGCGGAGGCGCACCTGATTGCCTCGCATAGTTGCAGTCGGTCGTCGCTGACCGTTGACCTCGGTCTTGTTGCACGTTTGCTCGTGCTGAGCAATGTGCTTCCGTCTTTTTTTTCTGTTGAAGATTTGCCGCACCAGTTCACCAGATTTTTCACGATTGCGTGAACGCACCCGAGCTGGTTTCGCCTATCAGCACAGACAACTCTACAAACTTTAGCACATATGCATGGTACGTGAGAGTTCTCTGTCAGGTGGGCCTCCTCTCCTGCTGAACAAAACTGACGTGACTCTACTAAGTGCCTCATAACGACTGTAAAACCGTGTTTTGTTTCAACAATCTGCAAGAGTGCGATCTCTTTGTCATCATAATCGTGTAGAATACTACAGACTCTTTCGAAAACACCATCAATTGTGAACCGGATCTTTCAGTGTTCTCCTCTGGACAGGTTTCTGTGTTATGCGCGATGCACTGATCCTTAACGATATCGCCCTTACTGCCAACCGGTGCCAGCCCTGTTGACATCCTGCGACGCGATTTCTGGAGACATCTACACACCAAGTCTAACGGTAGCCAGTACTTAATCGTGGACAGCAGCGTCACTTCCTAGAAGCAAGCCTGCATTTCCTTTGAAACTCTGATCATCCTCCTTCTCTGCCTCTGTTTTACTATCATTCTGGTGGGGGAGAGAAGAGTATCGGCTTTGATGCCTCGCTGTTCATGTCACTACCTAAACCTCTTCCGTTCGTCCCTCTCGGCCAGACTCTATGCTCTCGACGTCCTGTATCAGTACCGATTCATCGATCAATGACAACCAACGCAATTTCACAGTACGACAATTGCCTACATGGCAGCTGCTCCATGCGCATTGGTCGGTCTGTTGTTTTAGGTTCAACCGCACATCAGGACAACTTGGAGCATTCGACTTGTTACATTACTTCCGCTACTATATCTTCCCTGAAAAACAGAGAGCATATAATTCAATAAAATCTACTCTAGCACGACTGACCATAGCATTGAGCATCCGATCAGCTGCAGTCAAAGCAACAGTGTTTCATTTAATGCCACAGGTTTAAGAGATTAGTCGTAGGATCTGAAAATTGGCATTGGTCATATCGGGATCTAGGGGCAATTTAAAGGAGTTTCGGGCCAAAACTGAACTATATTGCCAGTGACATTTGCTGCTTCTATTCACGGTTCTAGTAAACATGAAAGCCAAGGAATGGCTAAGTATTAACCGTATTAACTGGAGGCTTTGTGCATCGGTTTTCTGTGTATATATTGCTCCCTGCGTCTGAGGAAAATCGCTTTTACTAGAAGCAATTACACTCAATAAGCTAATGGAACTTTGATTAAACATGACATTAAAAGAGCATGTTGAAACGTTTTAAGTTTCCATTTGATTATAAAAATGGGTAGCGAATGTCAGTATCTTCCCTGTCTGGGGATAATCGATCTCAAGAAGGCCTTCGACTCAGTCTACATCCGTTCTGTAAGACCTTTAAGATGCGGGAAATCGAGAACAGGTACAGAGACCTCACCGTAATCATTCACAACAATGCAACTCCTAATGTGAAGTTTCGCGAAATCGCAAGCTAGCTTCAATCGTAAAAGTGTTCGGCAGGATAATGCAGTATCACCGAAGTTATTCACAGCAGTCGTAGAGTGGTTCTCAATGCACTTCGTCAAGAAACTCAAAAAATGAAAATAAACGAGCAC